GGGGGGGGGGGGGGGGGGGGGGGGATGGATGGTGAGATCCCACATCGGTTGAGGAGGAGAACGAAACATTCCTTTTAAGGGTATGGAAACCTCTCCCTAGCAGGCACGTTTTAAAAACCTTGATGGGAAGCCCGAGAGGGAAAGTCCATAGAGGACAACATCTGCTAGCAGTGAATTTGGGCTGTTACATTTTTACAATTTACTGTGGTGGTTGGGGTACTTGGTAGTGATGCTTTTAAATGGATGGAATTTGGTGATAAATAACTTGTGGAGGAAATGTGCATATATGTTATACATATATAACATCCCCAAGGGATGGCCTTGTTGGCTAAGGCCAGCAGTCTCTGTGTATCACTTGTAGCATCTACCCTAAGGTCGCATTTTTCGAATCTATGGGCGAGCTTAGTACCAAAAACCTTTGATGTTTCCATGGGTCTTGTGGCGGGTTTAGACTTTTAAAAAAGAAAATGAATGTTATAATAGGCATCCATCATATTTGGCCTGCAATTATTAACTGCCTATATTTTGCTGCCTACTTAATTAATCTTTTCAAATTTTCCATGATACAGTACAAAAATGTCAGACCAGACTATCTGAAGAACATATGGAAAGTCATAAACTGGAAGTATGCTGATGAGATTTTCGCCAAAGAAGCTCCCCTAGTTGAGAGTCGTTGAGAAAAAAGACCCTTGGGTCCGTTTGTTGAATCTTCTTTTAGCTGTTTTCTGGTGAAATATTGAATAATGAACATCCTTGTATGCATGGATGTTCAAGCCTTGTAATGAGATGAAATGTATCTTTCTTTGGCCATCTGGGTTCGGTTTTTCCCCAGTCATATGCCTTTTACAGCTCATGTTCTTGTAATATCTATGTTCAAATCCTCTGTTATTGTTCACAATTTTGCCCACACACGAGCACACACGGGCACACACGGGCACATGGACACACACGGGCACACATGGCACGAACATTAATCTTGAATGGAAGAGGGGAAGGCAGGCTGTATCTATGAGAAAAAGAAATCATTGTTGTATGTGTTAAATAGGAAGGTTGAAGTCAGGCACATTGGAAAGAGACAAAATGAAATGAGCTACGTGATATGCGTAGACTTTTTGTATGTTCTATGTATGCAATGGTGGTGAAGTAATGAACCATCTTTTCTTGTAGACTGCGTGCGGCAAATGCGGAAGAAAAGCCAAAACTATAATGGGACAATCGCATCAGATTGGAAGACGACGACATGGGAAAGGATGGAGTTTTTGACTTAGCCGTTTGGTTGGCCATCCTTAACCAAAACTGCTGTACATCTAAATCTAATTCTAATTCTAATTCTAATTCTAAATCTTGTATTATAGCTCTTGACAACCTCATAGCCTAATGATTTTGTTTAATGATTTTCAGTAACCGAGGGCGGTTTATGCCAAACCGATAATTACCATAATGGGCAAAGAGAAGGAGAAAAATAGAGCTCACAATCGCCGCTGCTGTTTTAGTTTTACCTGCTGCGAGATTATTCACGGCAAGGGCGCGAGCGCGGGGAGGGGAAGGCCAAGCCAAGCCAAGCCAAGCCAAGCGAAGGGCACAGCGGAAGAGGGAGGCTTTCTGTTTCCCCCCCATAAAACGACGTCCCCGAACCCACAAACCGAGACTTTTTCAACAAATCAACGCGGTGAGGTTTGACGTTCCATTTCTTCTTTTCCATTGCGCGCTGTGTCGCATTCCGTTTCTTCCACCCAAATTTGTGTATCCCATACGCCCACTGGATACTACTCCGCCACCCACCATCTGGGTCTCCGATTCTGGGATCACATTGCCATTTCATCCAACTCTTTGTTCTTCTTCTTCTCTCCTTCTCTTGATTCTTTCTCTTTCTTTTATTGGGTCGTCGGTTAATTCTGTCCTTTGCATTATTAATGGACCCGTCTTGAAATTCCCATTTTCTTGTTTTTCTCGGCGCTTCCTTAAACCTGGATAATGCCCTTTTCTTGCTGCGTTTATTAGTTTCTTCGATTTTCTCTTGATTAATTACATGAGTGATCTCCAAGTCTGTTCGCCTCGGCACCATGGCATCTTATTGGGTGGCGATTATTCCTGCCCCCATTTGTCAAGATTGCCATTTCCCACATTGAATTCTGATCCGTCGTTAATTACTTCTGAAAATTGGTTAAGAGCCGAAAATACTGCTGGTTGTATCCTTCGTAGAATTCAGCCCACTTGCGTGGCCGAGCAGAAGAGACAGGAGATTGTTGATTATGTTCAAGGATTGATCAGAACTCGTATCGGATGTGAGGTAACTTTTCCAAGTGAATTGTGTTTATAGATTTATATTTGCTTATTTTCTTAATTTTGTAATGTGATGACTGTTTCTGTTTATCTTTGTGCATTGAATTGCTTACGCACATTGCTCATGATATACATTAAAAACATTGTTTTTTTCCGTTGAACTAAAGATGAATTGTGTTTAGCTGATTGTACTTTTGATGGGTTTTCAATTCAATATGATTCATTTGGCTTCACTACCAGGTATTTCCATATGGTTCTGTGCCACTCAAAACGTATATTCCTGATGGAGATATAGATTTGACTGCCATCTGCTGTGCAAACACAGAGAGTGCTGTGGTTTCTGACATTCATGCTGTTCTTAAGGAACAAGAATTAAATGGGGCTTCTCAGTTTGAAGTGAAGGATGTTCATTGCATTGATGCTGAGGTTCCACCCTACCCTACTCTCTAGATAAAAATAAATTGATAAATAAAGAAAGAAACAAAGAAACAAAGAAAAACGCAAGGAAAGAAAGAATTGAACCATGAAATTATGGTNTTTTCTTTTTTTTTTTTTTTTTTTTTTTTTTTTTTTTTTTTTTTAACTTTCGTTTGACTTTATTTTTCTTATGATTGCCTATGGCTTTATATTAGAAATTTGGTGAGGCATTATTTTAGTTCTCTTATAGATATCTTCTGAGATTTTTTATGCATGGTTGAGCTGGAGGTTGTATGTTCTGTTTCTACATATTATTCAAAACCTGCAGTAGCTTCAAGCTCGTCTCAATGGGTGGTCAATATTTCTTGGGTTAAACAATTTATTTCATAATTCTGCCTAGGGAATATGATATTGTATTATTATTGGTTCAAACACTGAAATAATCAGTTCAAAGTGTAACTGTATTTCTAACTTTTTTTTTTTTTTTTTTTTTTTTTTTTAAACTGATCCATCCATTATAAAAATAATTGTTTAAAAAAAAAAGGGAACATTCCTGTTGTTATTCTGGCTTGAACATTCTAGTCCCTGTAAGTTGTGGAGGGTGAAGTTTAAAATCCACGTAGAATTTTCAAAATGTACAATTATCTTCTCTGTGTGATGGATTTTGAGCATTTAAATTTCAGTTGTGACAACCTTTCCCCTCAACCATCGTTAAAATCATGGATCTGAGGTATCATGGAACTTTAAATTAATAACCAATTCCGGTCTAACCTAGGTGATTGGTCTTCAATGCATTGATGTAAATGGATGTTAATACTTTTATGTCTTGATTGGAGTCTCTGGTGTTTCTTGTTAAACTGAAAAAGTTTTTACTAGTTCAGGTTGGATAAGATTTATTTTCCCTTTTTGTACTTCTGTTGACAGGTTAAGCTTGTGAAATGCGTAGTACAAAATATAGTAGTTGATATATCCTTTAATCAGCTGGGAGGTCTCTCCACCCTGTGTTTTCTTGAACGGGTATGGTTGGATGTTAACTACTATTTTTTAAAATTCTAAGCTTTCACGCCTGAATTACTATATTAGGTGGCTTAATTTTATGCTTTGATATTGGCTATAATTAGGTTGATCGTATTGCTGGTAAAGATCATCTTTTCAAAAGGAGCATTATTCTGTTAAAAGCTTGGTGCTATTATGAAAGTCGAATTCTTGGCGCTCACCATGGATTGATATCAACATATGCTTTGGAAACACTTGTCCTGTATATTTTTCATCTCTTTCATGGTTCTTTGCATAGCCCTTTGGCAGTGAGTAACCATTTAAAGTCAAGATTTAATTATCTACTTGCATAGGTCAGTTTCACTATCTAATTCTGCTTTGCTTGTTCAAATAGGTCCTCTATAGGTTTTTGGAATACTTCAGCATATTTGATTGGGAAAATTATTGTATCAGCCTGCAAGGACCCGTTAGCAAATCTTCCTTACCTGATATAGTGGGTAAGAATTATTTTGCTGTAAGATTGGATAGGTTACTCTTTGCTTTCTTGACTTATGGTGGGTTTGCACAGCTGAAACACCAGAAAATGGTGGCCATGAGCTATTGCTGAGAGATGACTTCCTTAGAAACTGCATGGAAATGTACTCAATTTCATCTGGGAGGTCTGAGCCAAGCTTGAGGGGTTTTACCCTGAAGCATCTGAATATCATTGATCCCCTAAAAGAAAATAACAACCTTGGGCGCAGTGTTAGTAGAGGTATTTACCTGCTTTCTATGTGTTTATTGCTTTAAAAAGTGCGTGTAGTTTCCTTGACCTTTTCTTTTTTCTAATCCTGATATTCTCGCTGTTGCTGTGGAATTGGTTAATGGTACATAAAATTTTATTGCAGAGTAAACCCCTTCCCTTCCGGTGCACCCCCAACCCCACCCCAAGATCTTAATGCAAAAAAGTTTCTGTAGTTTCTCTTAGTATGATGAATTATTTCATTTCTTTCAACATCGCTATAAAAGAGTTTGGTAAAAATTCAAATGAACGTTGAAAGTTGAATTGCATGGAATTTGAGAAGCTTTACGAAGTCTTTTGTTTTATTTTACTTTTATATTTGACATGTTTGTTTTAAAAGTTTCATAAAATATTATCGTTTGAGAATGTTTTTTTTATCCGTTCATGAGATACAAAATTCATTCATTAAATGAAATTACCGAGGGGGAGAATCTTAAAACCCTGAGCAACAACTCATATGTAGAAAGAGGGGAAAGGGAATAAATCCCTGGCCAGTTGGCTATGCCTTGTGCTTGTTGGTGGGTGGGGGAACTCTGTTTGGAGTGAATTTTCGTTGGGGAGAGCGAGCCAGCCCACTCAAAGGCTGTGCTTTTTGTTTATGAGCTGTCAGCACCATTTTGTGCATCTTTCAAAGTAAACAATTGGAATATACCTAATATATTGGAATTAGAGCAAGCTTGGGGAAACTAGGAAAATGGTGCAGAAGAAGTGGGAAGGGTAGTTGGACCTTACCAACAAATTGCAAGGGTTATCAAAAGAATAACTCCAGAGGATTTGAACCCTAGAACAAACAATTGAGCATATCTCTGCACCTCGTGGAGAACAGAGCGTACCCACAATGTTATTAGAATTTTTTCCTAGAAGATGAAGTTCACCGGAGATGGAGCTCTGTGTGAGCCAAATCTATTAGAAGATCTGTCCCAACCAAAGGGGAAACAAATTCAATGGACACACGTTCAAATAAGTGGAATATCAGTATTCACCGAAGTGGATTTCTGATTCTTGGTTGTTCTGAGGAAAATTAAGTTAATAAACTCACATTAACTCTCTTTCTTTTACCTTTTTAATCAATTGTTTGCACTCATCATCTATGCCCCATGTAGCTTTGAACTTTCAAACGATTGGAAGCCAATTCTTGCATAATCAGGTAGTTAAAATTTTGGCAATGAAATCTTGAAACACACAACCACATTAATCAAATAGAAAACTATGACAAAAGCAAAATGATGAGTAAGATGAAGGAAAAACAAATACAAGGTTAATGACAGGAGAAAATGGAATTCTATTGAATCACCTGTATCAAAAGATTGAACAAACTGAACATGCAACTGGAATTAGCTGGTGATCCATAAAAGACTATTGAGTAGTGTCAAGGGGATGGGGCCTACAGAATGCGGTTTGATGTCTGCAGGTAAA